AGCTCAACCTACAACCAATTGACTCCGATCGGCGCGTCGGTTGCCAATACCCCGCCAGACCCGGACTCCTCCATTGTCAAGGTCACTCGCGGCCACAGCTGCGTCTTGTGTCAACAGCGCAAGGTGCGATGTGACAAGAAAAAGCCAAAATGTTCCAATTGCGTCAAGGCCGGCGTTGATTGCCGTGTTGTGCCACCCCAGCCTCCGAGGCGAAGGAAGAAGCGTATTCCCGAGCGTGATCTCGTTGACCGTCTCAGAAAGTACGAGGCCTTGCTGTCTCAGAATGGTATCGAGTTCGAGTCGCTTGGTCCGGACATAAAGATCACCGACCCCGGCTCTGTCGAGGAGGGTGATGAGCTCGAACCTGACTTCACCAGACAGAGACCCAAGGCTTCGTCTGCCGGTCCAGGACCTGATGTCATCTCCTCTGTTGGTGAGAGCCTCCACAGACCACGGTAAGTAGTATCTCGGATTGCCCCAAATTGGGTGCCTCGATATTGCACGTGCTAAATGAGACATACCTATAGCACATTTAGATGGTTCCCTTTTCAGAAAGAGGTGCGTCGATTCGTTTCGATCCCTTCGTAATGCCAATACTAATTCAAGTCCAGTTCCGAGCGCCTACCGATCCACTTCCAGATTCTTCTTCTGAGGAAGACGTTGGGTCAACTATTAATCACGCCTTTGATCAAATGTTTGGCAACACAGATGGATTTCCTTTTAGTATCGGCACTCAAACTCAGAGTGTCACCGACCTACATCCATCAGAGGGTCAGATTTTTCTATTATGGCAATTTTATCTAAGCAACGTCGACCCTATCCTCAAACTAACACACACGCCTACCCTACAAGGTCAGATCGTCGAAGCTTCAAGAAACCTCACAAATGTGTCTAAAAGCCTAGAGTCTCTGATGTTTGCTATTTATCTCATGGCAATCACGAGTCTTACCGAAGATGAAGTGGAGGAGAAATTCAACGAGTCGAGGTCCCACTTACTAATGAAATATCAACATGGCACGCAACAAGCCTTATTTAACGTGGGATTTATGCGCATGCCGGATCTGACAGTACTGCAGGCCTATCTATTATATTGTGTAAGATGCCACCCCCGGTGTTCGATATTCTTCTAATCCTAACCAGTACCAGATCAGCGTTAGGCAATATACAGACCCTCGGTCTCTGTTCTGTTTAACGGGCATAGGCGTCCGTTTGGCCCAACGTCTCGGTCTCCAACGAGATGGTGCAGAATTTGGGTTCTCCCCTTTCGAAGTAGAGGAGAGACGCAGACTTTGGTGGAACTTGGCTGGGTTCGACAGACGCATAGGAGAAATGTGCGGGTCGCCCATTACGGCCATCTCGACCGGTGGCAATTGCAAGTTGCCGCTCAATATAAATGACGCCGACCTAAATCCTCATGCTAGAGATCCGCCTCCTCCTCACATGGGTGCTACTGAAATGATATTTGCCCTTACACGGCTCGAGTTTGCTAAGGCACCAGGCAACGATAAGATGAAGGCCCAGCTGTCTGCCGCCAATCCACAAGCAGTCACAAATTTAGCCGACCACCGCCTCTCGGGTTACTTCGACCAATTCGCACATTACATGGAGGAAACGTACTTAAAGCACTGTGACTCAAAGATACCCATTCACTACATGACTCTCCTTATGACGCGAGGCACTATTTCCAAGTTGAAAGTTTACTCCGGTTTCTTCCGAGTTGCGATAACGGCTCCTTCCCCCTTACCCGCAGCTGAGAGCGAGGCTCTCCTGATCGAGGCGATAAGAATGCTCGAGTATGACAGTTTGATGCAAGCTCATGAAAACCTGAAAGGCTTCTTATGGTACACGAAAATGTATTTCCCATTCCCCGCATACGTTTGTCTTTTAAGTGAGCTTCGCCATCGTACGACCGGTGATCTGTGCGAACGCGCTTGGGAAACCATTTTCGAGCATGCAGAAAAAAGGAAAATGACGACTGTAACACGCACCCCGTTACACCTCGCCTTCAGTGCACTCTTCGTTAAAGCTTGGGATGCCAGAGAGTCCGCTGAGGCTGCAAATGGACGCACTTTAGCCCCACCGAGACTCATCACGGTCATGAGACAAATCGATGCTCAGAAGCCTAAGAAGCCTAAAAGTAAGACACCAATGCCAACACCATCGCCGAAGATGCCAGTAGTTAGTGCCGGGTTCGCTTCAGCACCGCCGCCATCATCTGCACCAGCAACAAACGTCGTGCCCAATCCAGCAATGTACCACCCTGCCGACATGTACAACATGCAGCCTGCCGAAATCAATAGGCAATTTTCTATGGTATTTCCTGACATGAATTTTGGTGGCGAGATGGACTTGAACTACCTTTTTCAAGAGTATGGTGGCTATATGCCTCACCAAGGCCCGCATGGCTTTGGCATGCCGCAAGTAATGCAGGATCCTACACAAGCCGGGGTTTGGCACTAAATGTATATATAATGTCAACTCGGGCTACGACTGTATAATGATATGACGAGAGCTGGGTCGAGGGAATACACTCCCCATAATCTCTTATTTGGTATATATTAATCAACGGATGTTACCTACGACAAGTTCGTAGTTTGTGCAAGACTGATAACGTAGAGATTTATTTCTTCCTAAAGAAGCGACGGGTTCATAAGAATGAGCATTGTTGGAACCTATTTAACTGCTTTCATTATTCCCTCTATTCATATCACCAATCTCATCAAAACATTTGTCCCGTAGCCCACGTCGAAAGAGCCGCCGGTCAACATCGGTCAATCATGGCACTATATCGTGACGATCCTCCATAATCAAATGGTTTCGTGGTGTAGTTGGTTATCACGTCAGTCTAACACACTGAAGGTCTCCGGTTCAAGTCCGGGCGAAATCAGAATTAATGTTTCTCTTTTGGTAGTTCCGTATTCGATATTGTTTTGTTTCTTTTTTTTTATCCCTCCACCCCGCCAGAACCTCCAATAATTTTGGTGTTGTATAAGTCAGAGGGCTATCAACAGCCACTGATTCAAGGGTTCTTCTCTTGGTGATTTCAGTAAACAACTAATTGCTATTATAAGCTTCCAATACTAAAGCTCGCATCCAATACTTATAACCTGGAATCAGGAGAATTGCACTAAAATACGGAGACTGCCGAAACAAGCAGCATTTAGATTTTCATGCATGGATTTGTTGGCACTGCCAAGTTACCCTTGCATCGTGTGTTAGACAGCAAAATTTGTAGCTATTTCTTCCCTATGCCAGTGATTTCTCTCATCTCGGGTCCAGATTTATACCAGCCTTACTTAGTCCCCGGTATTGCCGCCTAAGTAGGTAGTCAGATTCACAAATGGCTTCTGCCAGTGTTGACAAGGTCCAAATGTCCGGGGGAACCAACTCTACAACGCAGTTACGGCTCGCCTCCGGCAACGGACCCGTCCCCAGAACTGTACTGAAGACGCCTCTGCGTGATGCACTCGCATCGGAGATTCCGGTCATCGACATCTCTGGTATTTTTAGCGCTTCCAAAGACGATCGGGTGAATGTAGCTCGCCAAATCCGAGACGCTGCCACCAATAACGGGTTTTTCTACATCAAGAACCACGGTATCCCTCTGGAAATACCAGAGACGGCCTGCGAGAAACTCCTTGAATTTTTCCGGCAGCCGCGAGAGATCAAAGAGCGCGCCCACATCAGCCAATCCAAATACTTCAATGGCTACAAGCCGCCCAAGTCGCAGCGCATCAACCCGTTCGAGTCGGTCGATGTGCGCGAGACCTTCTCCTGGACCTACGACCCGCGGCACGACCCCTCGGTTCCCGACCCGGCCGCCATCCCATCCCACATCGCCCGATATCTGAGGTACGAGGATTTCTACTGGGAAGCTACGGAAAACCTACCTGGTTTCAAGGAGGCCATCGTGACGTATTGGCGTTCGTGTCTTGCCGTGGCGCGGGCCCTGGTGCGGTCCTTCGCGCTGTCGCTCGACCTACCCGAAGACTTCTTCGCGGAAAAGTTCACGCACCCGGATGCCGCCCTCGCATTGAACTACTACCCGCCGCTGCCTCGCCCGCAAGAACCAGCAGAGCAAGGAGAATCAGAAGTGTCCATCGGCTCGCACACTGATTTCCAGCTCTTCACGATCCTGTGGCAGGACAACAATGACGGCCTCCAGGTACTGAATCGCCAAGGTCAGTGGATCAACGCAAAGCCCATCCCCGGGACGTTCGTCGTCAATATCGCGGACTACATGCAGCGCATCACGAATGATCGCTACGTGAGCACCGTGCATCGCGCCCAGAACTATAGCGGGAAGGAGAGGATCAGTATGCCCTTTTTCTTCGGATTCAACCTCAACGAGAGCTGCGGCGTGCTTGATAGTTGCGTTGGGGAGGGGGAAGAGAAAAAGTATGACGAGATTAGTTGCGAGGAGTGGGTTCAGAGACGAGCGAGGGCAATGCATAGAGAAGGCGAAGGCAAATTCTTAGGCAAATGAGCACCGCTGCTCCTGTCGATATAAGTCAAATACTACTAGGTTAACAATACAATCTTCAAGGTTTCTCCGACTGATATGCGTAGAAGCCAGATGAAGATTTCGCTTAGCCTTATCAATACAATTATGTTATATTCTGTCAAGGAGACCAAGGGTGTAAGCCATAATACATCTAGTAGAACTCGCCAATGGCCGGAGGCACACCGGCACAGCCCCCGGTACGGAGTACAGGAATCGGCAAACCAAGCTAACCCAGACTCAGTTACAAGGCAGTAGTCCTGTCACCCAGATCATTTTACTGGCTTGGAGTTCCGAATGCGACTACTTTTTGTAAGCACAGCAGAACAAGACCAGGAATGGCGAAGTCCGATGATAACAATGCGGCCGATTATATCTTCAATTGTCAGGCCACCGACAGGACCCTGCTAATAAAAATAGTTCCAGGTCTAAGTTAGTTAATTAACTAACGAATAGTGATGACAAAAACGTGACTGCGTGTAGCCAAAAGATAAATCACCGACCAGGGCCTGATTCGAACAGACGCTCCCGAAGGAAGTAGATGGCACGAATTCCTGTCAAGTTGACAGGAAGTTTCGAGTCTACCGCGTTAACCACTCCGCCACCTGGCCTTGATATGGATTATTGGTTTCAACCAATTATTATAGCTCCTACCAGTTGATGGCGCATACTGCACAATCAGAAATGTCAAACATTTGACATGTGAAAACAATGATAAACAAGCGCTCGAAGACACAGGCGAATATAGGGATTTATTAGCGTAGAGGATCATAGGGCTTACACTGTACTCGCAATGGCCTAGGTTAGGATAGAACTGGTAGTTGCAAACTCTGCTAGTAGATCCCACCAGGTTTATAACAGCCATTGGCAACCAATGCTAAATTGTTATCCTCGCATCTTTCAATCAGCAAACCAAGAGCATGCGATGCCAGGAGACAAAGACTTACTAATTTCCTCAGGGGTAGGTGCGCATGTCTTCGCGTAATGTAGCGATGTTAGTCGGGAAACTCATTACCCCGGCGGGACTCTCCTAGGGCCATTGACGAGTATTTACGGGCTCTAGTTTACTGAGCCGCTTCAAAATGCTTGACGAGATGATATATTAAACCCGTGAGAGGAGAGATTGTTTGTGAGCGTCCGCGATGCTTTTATATATATCTTGCTATGACTAAAGGACTTACATGTTGTTTCAGTCCTGCCATGAAAAACTCCGCATAAGCATAAATCCCACCGATGGTGAGCACCTCACAATTCTCAACCCAAGCTCCAAAGATCGGGCTAGTTTGATATTTCCTAAAGTTACTTGTCGATATGGAACTTGGTATGATGAGAGTATTCCAAACGCCTTTTTGGACAAAATCGATTCAATAAGGTAGTATATATTCTTAGTTAATGAATTACTTAAATCGTTGCTGAAATATGGAGGCCTGATTATTATGAGGTATACTATACAGCTAAGCATTTACGTCAAACCTGCCTGCACAGCTATAATATCAAATGTCGTAAGTCGAAAAGCCAAGTCATGTTAGGAACAACATCTTTACGGGCACACGTGACTATGAGATCGGCGCATTTTTGTTAAATGGGGGTTCCTATTTCCACAACGACTGCTCAGAAAAGGCGAGTGAGAACATACGTCGAACAGTAGTATGACATACGACGTCAGACTCATTAACGGTAGGAGTCATGGAGAAAGCCTCCATGGGGGGTTGCCTTATACACCGTGACAGGTATTTCCTTTCACAAGACTATATACACCGGCTGTCCTCGCAAGGAAAATTGTCTAAGTAATACGTAGCGGTATATAAACGACTTACACGTCTGCAACTCATTATACCCACTCGGATAAGCAAATTTACTCTGTCCACCTTTAGAACAGTGACGTATATCTCCGTGCTCTTGAGTTCAAGTTATGCTAGGTCGAATGTCACAAACCCCGACTGTAATCCTAGGGGTTAGGGAGTTAATCCAAGATGCTACAGCAACCACATCACATGACAAGAAATCTATAAAAAGCTCGTTCCTAGATTTGTTTCTTGCAAGACCGGGGATTTTCAGCTATGGAACTTTCCCTCCTCGCCCGCAAGGTCATCTCCTAATCCAAAAACAAAGTCCTGTCCAAGCTCCATATTCTCCAAACCCTTGCTACAGCACTATCACCTGACAATACAAAACAGAGATTCCTTTAGACATCTCATTGATTCTTCATGACTCTATTCCGTGATCAATCAAGCAGGTTTTGCACGCTATAGTCCGCCGAGGCTAGGACCTTCTGTTGCGCTAGGTTCAGGGGCTCGTCAATATCAGCGGAATCAGAAGCGAGGTCATGTGAGAACGGAGTTATTTGGGGCGTCTGGCGCGAGTCCCCCTCATACTTGCAGTCTCTGGCGATCCGGATGATATTTATCTGGGGGGTATTGGAGGGTCTCATCCTTACGGGAAGGATTTGCTCGAGGGCATATCGACGATTACACTCTTGCCAGAACGCCTGATTCTGGATCATCTCTTGGACCTCGCGTACTAAAGAGCCTCGAGAGGAATTATCAACGACGAGAATGATCCTCTCTATAGTGCGAAGCTGGCTATAGACGGTCAAAAGGGTCTCTTTCAGCTTCTCCTCGTTGAGGATAGACGACCAGTCAACAGCGACATTTTTCGTATCTGCGGCTCGCTGGAGTGGTCTGGTCTGGTGGAGCTCGAGCTCCTCTAAAGTGTCGTGGTCGAAGTAAACGATGTCATTTTGCCCGTTGCCGACCACCTTGAGAAGAGGGATTAGATCAGGAGAACGGAGTAAGTTATAAGCCTTGCTGTCCCGAATATTCTTAGTAGCAACGGAGAACAGGCTATGTTCGTGTAATAGCAATTCTTTGTCGCCATACACGTCTTCGGCAGCGAAGCCAAGGCAGATGATTTTACTTTCATCGGTATGACGTCCGTGCTCCCCAACTGGTGACTCGGTGATTTCATCGCGCGTGTCGGTGCTTATGTCTGGAGAAGCCATTATGTTCTTCTACAAAGATGCCAAATAGACGTTAGCTAACAGAGCAGAGGAACCTCCCATATCCTTGATCGGCTTGTGAAAGCACTCACTGAATAAAAGGCAAAGATTAGTTCGTATGGATACTACAGAGCAAATACTGTAATGCCAGGCTGCAGAGGCGATAATGAAGGAGAGAAAAAGGCTTAAATGAGGTCTTGCAGTTGTTCGTAAACTCCAATTTCCTGCATTTCCAGAGTCATGGGGGGTAGTTGCTGCCTGTTATGCTGACCAGTGCCTGCCAGAGGCGGAAGCTTAGTTAATAAGCCAATGTGCATTTCTTGGATTTATACAAATTCTCATAGAAACAACTATAATAAGCGAAGGTTTTGTTGGACTTTGTTCGCCAATGGATAAGCCTGAACTTTATCCATATTGGGGGCCATTATAAGACATCCACCTCGTGTTAGCCCAGCCACACTCAGCTCAAAAATTTTTAACAGTCCAGCCTTATTTATGTCTCTGAGACACTAATTTGAGCATAGCTCTGGGCTGGATTATGTCCGTCGAGTTCTGGTTCGTGTTCTGGGGCGATTGCTTGACACAATGGAGAGGCCTTCCAAAGTTCCCTACTCGGAGACCCAGGCGCTCAGACTCGTCTTGGGAGTCGGAGGATCATTTATGCAATTCGAACTTGGTCGCTACTCCAGGTCATACTTATTGCCATGGAGGGTTAGTTTCTATTGCCAGGGATAATTGTCGTAACCGAACCCCGTATAAATCCAGGTCAACGTAGCCGTCTCCAACTTGGGTGGCTCATATGACCCGGTAGGAGAGAACCGGCCGCTCCCTGCCACAGTTCGTAACGACTGCTCAAACATCGTCTTCAAATCTCGAACTTGATGGCCTCGTGGTTGGGGGTCGCGACAATATGACTTCGACACGCGCGTGGATGCCAGCGGTTTCTCGACTTTTTGAGCTTCGGGGTCGTATCGAACCAGCTTGGTCTGATAGGGTCTGCGCAGCCAGTAATTCTCGAGGTTAAAGTTGATGTTAAATCGATAATGATACGCTTCCCAGAAATCGTGATGATCCCAAGGGATAGTTGTGCGGTTTGGCTGACTATAGGTCAGGTTGAATGTAGAACGCTGATATACTACCAGTATGATCGCCTCAAGGTTGGGAAACTTGGAAAGGTGGCCCAGGAGTCGTGCCATGTTTTGTTTCGTACGCACGGCCTTGTGAAAGAGACGGAGGTGTAACCCAGTATGCAGACCCCACTGTAAAACCCGAGGTCAATGATCATTATCTGAGCGTGACCTTTGAGTATTTCTAATGGAGGTTTTAAGGTATGAACAAATCTTTTCGAGTAAGGGTTTCTAAATAACACCTCACACGACCGGGGAAAAAAATGACGCTGAGAATTACTTACTGATGTTCCTAGGGCTATCCTAGAGGCACCACGTCTGACAGATTCGATTTGGCTCAACAAGCGAATGACTTTGAGAAGGCGTCTCACTTGTAGATATGAGTCCAGAAGGAGGATATCGCGATCGAGATTGACATGCTTGACGACTCCAGAAAACGCCAGGGGTTTGTAATGGCGAAGCACCGCCTGTCGAGAATCCCGACACACCCGCGATAGTGTGGGAGGAGGTTGATTCCGAACATCAGCAAACATAAGTTTAGCACTTGGCCCAGCTTGTGACGAGACGGAACATGGTGAATCGAGCACTTCGTAGATTCGAGCTTCTGGGAAGGCATATTGCCACTGCGTCGGACCAGAATAGAATCGTTAGCAGCCCAACGCCAAGTAGCACCTAGGATGATCTAGGAAACCGAGGGCAGGAGGCAGATATCACAGACGATCGCAACTTGAAATCTAACTTACGATTTGATCTCGCAGTTCTTGGGGTAGTCTAGAGAATTGAGGGAAGCTGTTCGCCATCCTATCCATCGACAAAGGGCAATAGAACTAAGTCGATTAAAGATATAGGGCTCAGGCTTCGAGTGCTAGTAAAAATAAGCATGAATGATGACAAAGATGCATACCACCGAATCTTTTCTAACAGGGCGTTGGGAGCCTTTTGGTTTTTGTCAGCCAAAACAATTCTCATAAGTACCGTCGATGCTTTATACTCACGTGTACCTCAAGAAATAGGAGCAAAACTAGTCTGATAAACGGTTAGCTACAGCTGGTTCCGCAAATAGGGGTGTAGCGCACTTGGCCCATGTGGCATTAGAACAACGTACTCTGGAGTTTGCTTAGAATAGCTGCCTTGATGACAAAAGTCAGTGAAGACTCAGTTTCCCGAGGAAAGTGTAGTCGCGAAACTACAATATCGAAAGGAATAGAAGCGGTCATAGAGCCAGTCTCGACAAGCCGGTCTACCAAACATGAAACTCTTACGAGAACCAAGACCTCACAACAAGCCGCTAATCCGACAACAGCTGCAGTGCGTTCTCATATGCTGGGCATCTATGCCTCCCGCCCCTAAAGATAGATAGAAATACGTCTAGGCGAATCTAGAATGATAACGATCAGCCCCCACCTTCGATACCTCGAAGACAACTAGGGGTTAGTGGATATATACAAGGTCGAATATCTTGGGCCAATGTTCGTTTCCTCTAAAA